CCTCCCTTTCCCTTGTGCCTAACCAATCAATCCTCCCCCTATCGTAAATCTTGCTTCCCCCCCCTCAAACCCCACCCCCACCCCCCCCCCCCACCGCCTCCCCCTCGCAGGCAAGAAGCGATTCAGCAACAACCGGTTCGAGGACCGCGCGGTCGCGGCGGCCAAGGCCACCGAGGATGCCGAGTTCCTGAGCTTGGTGAGCCAATCCCTTCCCGCTCACCGCCAACAACAGAGCCACCACCAACCCCACACCAGTCCCCACCTTTTGGCTCCGCCACTGCTGCCACTGCTGCTGCCGCCACCGCCGCCCTTGCTCACGCCGTCGCCGCCCACGCCGCGCCGCCTTGCCACCCCCTTTCGCCACCCAGTTCGGCCGGGCCCCCGCACACCCTCATGCCCCCTACCATGGCTTCTCCGGCACCACCGCTCTGCGCCTCTGCTCACTGCGCCCCTTCCCCTCCCTCCCCCCGCCGCTCAGATTTTCACCCAGTCCGCGCTGGCGGCGGAGGCGGAGCAGGCGGCGGCGGCGGAGGTTGCTGCCTGAGCGTGTGTGGGGAGAATCGGGCATCCCTCAACAGTAGCGCACCCGTGGGCCGTGCGGCGTGCGCCGTGGTCTACGGTCTACTTTGCGCAGCGATGGGGACACGCACACATTCGCTGAGTTTTCTTTGTGTAGAGTCGTTTGCGCTGCACGCGTGTAATAGAAGACTAAATAAATAGAAGACGAGGGCGGAGACGGTAGTGCGACGGTAGACGGTCGGGGGAACGTGCAAGCCTTGCTGCAAACGTCGCAAACGCGCATCGTGCGGCGTGTGCGCGGCTGCGCTCCTCACTGCACTCGCAAACGAGCCAACTCCCGGCACACGGCCACAGCCCACCCCCGGCACCTCGACAGCAAGTCGCGACGGCAGCGCACGGTGCGGGGCGGGGCTTGGGTGGGGACCGAGAGGCGGCGCCGGCGCGCGAGGGGCGAGCCCCGCTCGGCGCGGCAGCAGAGGCCTAGGCTAGCTTTTTGAAGAGGGTCTTGGAGACGCAGGAGTCGACGCAGTGGACGTAATCGCCGTACCACCCCGAGCACTCGCCGCTGCCCTGCGCATCCCGACAGGGGCGGGGGTGGAGGGTTTTGCACGGGAGACGGGAATCGAACGACGGCAGTTTTGCGTGTGCGGATCGGGGCACGGATGAGGAATTGCGGAGTGAAGGGCAGGCACGCCTTCTCCTCGATGCGAGCAGCGCACGCCTGGTACGTCTCCAGCGCCTTGCCACACGACGCCTCGCACCCCTTCTCAAGCAAGTCCTTCGGGTCGACAACCTCGACCTCGCGCGGCACAAACATGCCACCGTACCTGCACGCGCGCGGCGGCAGCGGCGGCGGCGTCACAGCCGAGACGGGCGCGAGTGCCGAGGGTGGCGTGCGGCGGCGGCGCGGCGCGGCACAACAAGCCTTGGCTCCGCCATGCTGAGCGCTGTGAAAGAAATGCGAGTCGATGTCAAAGGCAGCCGGTTAACTCCGCCCGCGACGTGCGGTCCGGCCCGTCCAGTCGCAACGCACTGCGCCTGCGTTTTCTCGTTTTCATTGGTTTCGGCTGCGCACTCAACCAAGCGCACTCAACCAAGGGTGTGTCGCTCTCAAGCGGACCACCACCACCGACGCCCACCACGGGCTGTATCGGGCCCTCGCCGCCATCACGCACTCACCACCGCCGCCACCACGCCGCCGTCACCACCACACCACCGTCCCACTCATTGCCGCCACTTCTCGCCGTCACCGCTTCAGGAACATCATGCACGCCCTCTCCCTCGTCGCCGCGTCGCTCTCGCTCGCTTCGGCGCTCCAGATCGAGCCCACGCCCGCGGTGAAGCCGCTCCTCAAGCTCCGCGGAGGTCTCGGCGGCATCGACGCCGGCCAAGTCGCGACAATCGTGCAGGTTGGCGCCCGCTCAAACTGCGCCCTGTATTGCCCGACCACTCTCACAGTTTTCGCCGCTGTTAGGGCATCAGCGCCGCCAACGCCGGCGTCATGTCGCTCGCGCCCAAGAAGGCCGGCGAGATGTACGGCGTCGCGCTGACCAAGTGGACCGAATTCTTTGCTCAGTGGTCTGGTGCGCGCGCCTCGCTCTGCAGCCGCTCCTGCACCACAGCGCCAGACCCCACCGCCACCTCCGCCAGACAACCCGCCCCCTCACCGCCAGACCCCATCGCCCCCTCACCGCCAGTCCCCACCGCCCCACTCACTCTCAGACCCACCGCCGCCTCACCGCCAGACCCCACCGCCCTCTCCGCCAGACCCAAACGCCCCCTCCGCCAGACCCGACCGCCGCCTCACCCGCGCCGCAGGCATCATCATGTTTGGCCAGGTCCTCACGGCGTACCTCCACGCCGGCGGCATGGCCCTCCCCGAGGCGCTCGCGTGGGGCTTCCTCCCGTCGTGCGTCTTAATTAGCTCTTAATTAACTATTAATTAACTCTTAATTAGGCGCTCGCGTGGGGCTTCCTCCCGTCGTGCGTCGTAATTAGCTCTTAATTAACTCTTAATTAACTATTAATAGGCGCTCGCGTGGGGCTTCCTCCCGTCGTGCGTCGCGTCGGTCCAGGACTTCCTGAACGACCGCATGGTCGGCGAGATGGGGATGGGCGAGGCGGCCAAGTACGCCCCGCCGCTGGTCAACCTCGCGCTCACGCTCGGCGCCTTTGGCAAGGCCCATTCTCTCCCCTATATCTCTCGACTATATCTCCCCCCTATCTCCCCATATCTCATGCTCACGCCACCGCCTGCAAACAGGTGCCGAACCTTGCGCCCGAGCTGGCGGCCAAGGCGGCGGCCGTGTGGATGGCCGCCAACGGCCTCTTCGGCTACTTCTCGACGGCCGCCTGGCTCGAGGGCCATATCTCCCCCATATCTCCCCCATATCTCCCCCATATCTCCCCATAGGCCGCCTGGCTCGAGGGCTGGGGCGCGTCCCCCACCACCCACGGGACTGAACCCACACTGGATTCGGTACTCCGGAGGTATGGTACTAGGTGCCGCGCGCATGCCCCGTGTGGACGAGGAGTGCTGCAGCTGGAGGCGTTAGCGAACGCGCACTTGCATCAACTCTAGGCGGCAAGGGACTCAGCGCGGTCGAGTCGGGGATGGGCAAGCTCATGGCGTCGACGATGTGCGGCGGCGCTGTCTACATCGCGGCGAGCCAGAGCTAGAGAGACCGCCCCGCGGTGGCCAGACCCACTCTCACCTCTTTGCAACCGCGCGTGTGCTACGCCGCGTCGCCCTCCCACTTCTCCTACGTCCGTCCCACCGCCCGGCCCAACTACTTCTCTCACCACCTCCCTACCTACCTACACACACACACGCACACACAGAGAGAGAGAGAGAGAGAGAGAGAGAGAGAGCGAGAGAGGTGAAGACACGGTCTGGCCTGCGACGCTGGACACGCGGCGGTAAGGGCGGGACGCAAGCGCCGTAGAGACGGCCACACAGGAGCGGCACACAGACACACACACTCACAACCGACACTCCGCCTGCTGAGGCTGCCACGCACCACGAGAGTGAGCGTAGGCGAGCGCCTTCGGGGGCAAGACGGCCCTCGAGTGCTTCGGCGCCATGATGGGCATATACGCCCTCACCTTAATTAACTCTTAATTAGCTCTTAATTAACTATTAATTAGGCGCCATGATGGGCATGTACGCCCTCACCTTAATTAACTCTTAATTAGCTCTTAATTAACTATTAATTAGGCGCCATGATGGGCATGTACGCCGTCACCTCACTCGACGGGCTCTACCTCTCCAAGACCACGGAGGCGATGGCGGCGGTCGCGCCGCCGACGGGCGCGCCGTACTTCTGGGGTTGTCGACGCTTTTCTTTTCTTCTAGGCGATGGGCGTCGACCCGCCCAAGGTGCTCTTCTGGGCCGCCATCCAGGCCTCGCGTAGTGCCGTACGCTCACTCGGGATGCGTGGCAGTGTCAGTTTGCTGAGTGTCGGTTGTGAGTTTGTGTGTCTGTGTGTGTCGCTCCAGCGTGTCGTCATCATCTGTCGTCATCTCTGTCCCGCGTCCATCCATACCGCGCCGGTGTCCAGTCCGAGCCAGACTGTTCTTCACTTCATTCCTTACTTACGCAGGCGTTCACCGCGGCGGCCGTCTTCCTCTGAGGCCACCCGCGCGCCACGCCCTCAGTTTTCCTCAAAGGAGAAATGGGGGAGGCTGGCTATCCCGCAAATCTGAGCCTCTCTGCTTGCTGAGGCACCGACAAGCTCGGGCCGCACGGTCTCGTCGGCCGGTGCAATTGCAGTCGCGGCGGCTGTGTCTTGCTTAGAGTGGCCGTTACCGTAGCATGGGGGAGCGCATGATCGTCGGTGTCTCGGTCGTCTTCGACCAAGAAGTGAGTGCGCCGTTATCTGTGCGAACCCCGCTGGGCATGTGTGTTCAGCATGACTTCGAACAGCATGCTCCGCGAGACTGAGTACAGTGCATATGTGTACACGTCTTGCGTGACAACTCGCACAACACAGGTACACCGAGGAAAAGAGTTTGTCTATGATGGAACAATGCGTTCGATCATCACAACTTCCCTTTCACTATCGCCAGCAGAGCGGGGTTGTTGCACGAGTATATCTGGGCCACGATGTCTCAAATATGAGGGGTTTTGACTCCTACCGGCTCCTGACGCTATCCCTGGCAGCTCTAATGGCCAGGGTCAGTAGTGTTGTGATAGATGGTGCCCATACTAGCGCAGGAGCTGCCACACTCGCCCGGACCGTCCCCTTCTGGGGCCGGTTCCGCAGCCCGCGAGAGCCGACAGCGGGGCCGTGCCGCAGGTGCCTACTGCCGAGAGCCACAAACACTGCGCCGTCCCGCCATCACCTACAGGCTGTCTTGTGGGATGGTTGGGATGTCCAAACGCCACCATCTTGGCTCTTGCGACCTCAAACCCTCGAGCTGTATGGGTGGTCCTGACGTCGACAGACGCCCGAGGACCATGGTGAAGCTGAGCCGGAACGCGTCGACAGGTCTCGTCTGAGCCCGTGGCGGTCGCCGGCTGAGTCGTTGTGCACGGGACGGTACCTCAGGCGTCACCTCCGCAGCCTCAGGTCTCACACTCCATCACCTCCGCCGGGACGCCTTCGGTGGCACGCTCGGCGGCGACTTTGTGGCAGCCCCACAGCGAGCGCGGCATCGAGCCTGTTCGGTCTGGTCGGTTCGCGGCACTCACTGGGTGCCTGCTGGGTGCCAGGGAGTGCCGCCGACACGCGAGCGGTGCTTCCTGGCGGCGCGCGCCGGCTGTGGGGCTGCCACAAACTCGAGACACGCTTTTTGGGACATTTTCGACGCTTTTGGCCCATATACTCGTGCAACAACCCAGCGCTCTCCAGCTCCACTGGCTCTCCAGTCTCCTCAGGCTCTACGGCCCGTGCGCCCACGCCTCGACCTTCTTGGGCAGCAGCTGGTCCGACAGGTCCTCTCTGTGGCCTAGGCAGCCGTGGCGGCCCTCGCCCCAGGTAAGGACGGCGCCGTCGGCGGCGAGGGCGAGGCTGTAGAGCTCTCCAGCCGACACGGCGACGACGCGCCGGCCCGCAAAGGCCTCGAGCTTCTTGGGCAGCAGCTGGCGCTGCGTGTCGCCGTGGCCCAGCTGGCCAAGGGCTCCCCAGCCCCAGCTCCAGACGCTGCCGTCGGCGGTGAGGGCGAGGCTGTGGCTGCGTCCAGCCGACACGGCGACGACGCGGTGGCCGGCAAAGGCCTCAATCTTCTTGGGCAGCCACTGGTCCTGCTGGTCGCCGTGGCCCAGCCTGCCAGAGGCTCCACCGCCCCAGCTCCAAACGGCGCCGTCGGCGGTGAGGGCGAGGCTGTGGAAGCGTTCAGCCGACACAGCGACGACGTGCTGGTCAGCAAAGGCCTCGACCTGCTTCGGTAGCAGCTGGGCCTGCTCGTCGCCGTGGCCCAGCCTGCCAGAGGCTCCACCGCCCCAGCTCCAGACGCTGCCGTCGGCAGTGATGGCGAGACTGTGGACACCAGCCGACACCGCGACGACGCGCCGCGCAGTCAATGCCTCGACTTTCTTGGGCAGAGTCTGGTCCTGCCAGTCGCCGTGGCCGAGCTTGCCGTAGTCTCCATCGCCCCAGCTCCAAACCGAGCCGTCGGCGGTGATGGCGAGGCTGTGGCCGCCTCCAGCCGACACAGCGATGACGCGCTGGCCTGCCAAGGCCTCGACCTTCTTTGGCAGCAGCTGGCTCTGCGTGTCACCGTGGCCCAGCTTGCCGTAGCCTCCATCGCCCCAGCTCCAGACAGCGCCGCCAGCGGTGAGGGCGAGGCTGTGGTCGCTCCCCACCGACACAGCGACGACGCGTTCACCCAGCGAAGAGGGGAGGAGGGTCGGCGTGTTGAGCCGCGTCACTCCCTCGCCGTGGCCGAGCAGGCCTGGATAATCGCCGCACGACGAGAGCCGCCCCTCGGCGTCGATGAAGAGGCTGTGCTGACGGCCCGCGGCCGCCCTCGCCGGCGGGTTGGACTCGCACAGCAGCGCAGCGAAGCACAGCCACCGCACGGCGGAGCCCTCGCCCTCTGGCTGCGCCGGCAGCTCGAAGCCGCGCTCTTGCGCCCACAAGCGGATGGCCTCCACCGCAAGCGAGGCGTGAAAGAGAAGCGAGACGGCCGCGACGCGATGTCGATGGGGCTTTCGCAGCGAGAGAGGGCGCGCTCGAGGAGCTCCGTGGGGAGGTCGAGGAGGCGGATGGGCGGCGGCGTCATTGGCGAGGGCGCGGCGGTGGCGGCGGCGGCAAGGCGGCGCGAGCGGCGGCGCGACGGGGTGGACATCGGGGTGGACAGCGAGAAAAGAATAAAAGAACCCCAGTGTGAGTTAAAAACACATCACGCGCAAAAGAAAAATCTTTGTCTGGTGCAACGAGCCTCTTCGAATTCTTTTACAGCCGCCTCACTCGCGCCGCCGTCCCGACTCGCAAAAAACCGGTCGACCTTTCACTGCGCAGGTGCTTCATCGAGCAACGATGAACGGCACCGCCGGCGACGCGCCTTCGCCGCCGGCCGATGTCGAGACCGACACCCGCCAGCTGATCGGCGTCTGCCTCGCGCTCAGCGGGAACCTGCTCGTCTCAGTCGCGCTCAACATCACAAAACACGCTCACAACCTGAACCAGCGCGCGGCAAAGCCGCAGCCGTACGTCAAGCTGCCCCTCTGGTGGACTGGCTTCGTCTCCACCATCGTGGGCGAGCTCGGCAACTTTGCGGCGTACGGCTTTGCCGACGCGTCGGTGATTGCGCCGCTCGGAGCCATCTCCGTGCTGTCCAACGCGTTTATCGCGGCCCTCGTGCTCGGGGAGGGCCTGCGCTGCCGCGACCTCATCGGCTGCTGCCTCTGCATCGCCGGCGGCGCCGTCATCGTCGCGTCTTGCTCGACGCACGACTTGCAGGTGGAGCCGACAAGAGAAGAAGAAACGAATCAGGCCCATCCTACCGAGCATCATAAGGATGAGTCGAGGGACGAAGCTGCAGGTGGACGCCGACGTGCACTCCTTCCTCTCGCGGCTGCAGGACCGCGCCGTATCTCAATCCACTGGCAGCGCAGGACCGTATCTCAGTCCACTGGCAGCGCAGGACCGTATCTCAGTCCACTGGCAGCGCAGGACGTGGCACGGACACCCAACAGCCCGCCTTCTCTTCAGAAGGGCACACACGCCCGGCCACAGACACGGGGAGGCACGTAGTGGATCTAACGCAAGGGAGTGTCAGCGAGGGCGGCGCCCTGCAGGACCGGATCTTTCTGGTCTACATCTCCCCACATCTCCCCATATCTTCCCATATCTCCCCACATCTCCCCATATCTCCCGATCGCAGGACCGGATCTTTCTGATCTACATGCTCTGCCTCACGATCCTCACCGGGCTGATGCTCGGCTTCCAGGAGATATTTATACGGGGAGATCTGGGGAGATCTGGGGAGATCTGGGGAGATCCTCACCGGGCTGATGCTCGGCTTCCAGGAGATATTTATACGGGGAGATACAGGGAGATACGGGGAGATCTGGGGAGATCCTCACCGGGCTGATGCTCGGCTTCCAGGAGATATTTATACGGGGAGATACGGGGAGATATGGGGAGATCTGGGGAGATCCTCACCGGGCTCGTGCTCGGCTTCCAGGACAAGTATGGCCATCTCCCCCCATTCCTCCCCACATCTCCCCCTCTCTCCAGGACAAGTATGGCCACGCTCACGTCGGCTACTACGTCCTGCTCTGCTCCATGCTTGGCGCGGTGGCCCAGAAGCGGAAGAGTTAGTCTCGTCTTCCAGCCAGCGCTCGAGAGGAGACGCACTCCGCTGTACTCGACCGTATTCAGCGGGAGTCACTGTCCTCGCAGCCCCTCGTACTCACGCGGCGCCCTGGAGACGCTGCACGAGACCGTAGTCTCGACGCGAGGGGGTGGCGTCTTCAGCACGTAGGTAGGCACGGTCAGCTCGCCCAGCTCTGCTACCACACCACCCACGGGACGGAACCCGCACTGGGTTCGACCACTCTGGAGGTGTGGTGCACGTAGGCTCGGTGACGGTCATGGCGTGCAAGGGCGCCTCTTCCCCCCCCCCCCCTTCTCTGCCGCGCCGCGAGAGCTGCGCGAAGGGGCGCTGTTCACAGCTCGGCCCGTGAATAGGCGTCTCGACGATGCTCAACCTAGATCTCCCTCATATCTCCCCCATATCTCCCCATATCTCCCCTAGGCGTCTCGACGATGCTCAATTTGTGGATTTGCTGCGGAGGCCACCCGCCTCCCCATCGCACCCTCCACACCCTCCCATCACACCCTCCCATCACACCCTTCACACCCTCCCATCACACCCTCCCTTCACACCCTCCCATCACACCCTTCACACCCTTCACACTCATCACACCCTCCCTTCACACCCTCCCTTCACACCCTCCCATCACACCCTTTCATCGCACCCTCCCATCACACCCTCCCATCACACCCTTCACACCCTCCCATCACACCCTCCCATCACACCCTCCCATCACACCCTCCCATCGCACCCTCCCATCACACCCTCCCTTCACACCCTCCCATCGCACCCTCCCATCACACCCTTCGCACCCTCCCATCGCACCCTCCCATCACACCCTGGTGTCCAGCCAGCGCTCGAGAGGACGCGCTCTCCGCTGTACTCCGCCGTATTCAGCCGTTAATCGCTGAACTGATTCACAGAGAGAGACGCAGAGAGCTCCCAGTACACTGCACAACGCCGGTTTGCAAATCACCCAATCTCTGCCCATCTCTCCCCACATCTCCCCACATCTCCCCACATCTCCCCACATCTCCCCACATCTCCCCACATCTCCCCACATCTCCCCACACCTCCCCACATCTCCCCACATCTCCCCACACCTCCCCACATCTCCCCACATCTCCCCACACCTCCCCACATCTCCCCACATCTCCCCACATCTCCCCACACCTCCCCACATCTCCCCACATCTCCCCACACCTCCCCACATCTCCCCACATCGTCCCCACACCACCCCACATCTCCCCACCGTAGGCTCGCTACCCGTGCGGGAGCCTGTCTTCTACCTCGCACTGCTCGTGCTCGGCAGCACCGCGGTGCTCCTGACCCGAAAGCTCAGCACCCCTGTGTCTCCCCCTATCTCCCCCCCATCCGCATCTCCCTCTCTCCCCATGTCGGGTGCCGCAGATCCGAGACCTCAACATCCTCTACTTCCGCCTTTCTCCCCACATCTCCCCACATCTCCCCACATCTCCCCACATCTCCCCACATCTCCCCACATCTCCCCATCCCTCCCCATATCTCCCCATATCTCCCCACATCAGGTGCTGCAGATCCGGTACCTCAACATCGCGATGGAGAACTTCGGCAACACCGAGACGGTGCCCGTGTTCTACGTGATGTTTACCCTGTGCACCATCCTCGGCGCGGTGTCCTAGAAGCGGGATACGCACTCTCGTATTCGAAACGGCGCTCGAGACGACACGCACGCCGCTGCATTCGCTGTCTCTCTGTGTCGCTCGTCTTCAGCTGCATGCGGCCGTGCTCCGCTGTCTTCACGCAAGGACGCAGCCCCGCGCCAAAGACGCACACGCACAGACAGTCGAGAAGGGAGAGAGGCAGCGACGGCAGTCCGAAGGCGGCGCTGGGTCCCAGGAAGGCGAATGCGATGCCGGCCTCTAGTGCGAGCTCTACACTAGTGAGCTCGTACTACGCACGCCGGCAGATCGCGACTACAGCTAGTCTTCGCACCGTGCTCCGAGAGACTCTGCACAAGACCGCCTTCTTACTCGTATTCGTCTCCGTGCATTCTTCTTGCTGTTCTCAGGCTCCAACTTCCTGTACCACGACTTCGAGCACAAGTCGACGGCGGATATCGGCGCCTTCTGCGCAGGCTGCCTGACTTGTGGCGGGGTGGAGCTCCTCGGAGCTTTCCACGAACCTTCTCGGAACCTTCTCATAGGCTGCTGCCTGACGTTTGGCGGCGTGAAGCTTCTCACCTCGAAGCGCGACCGGCGCAAGACCCCGCCCGACGCGCTCCTCGCCTCCGAGGAAGCCGCGCTGCCGATCAGTTAGAACTAATCGGGGAGTGATTCGTTAATCAGGCGCTTCTCGCGTCCGAGGCGCCGGGCGAGTGGCGGCAGACACCCGCAGAGCTGACGCCGCCGAGTCTCGCCGGCGGTGGTCCCCTACCGGTCCGGCCTCAGCTACCCGAACCTTCTCGGAACCGTCTCGGAACCTTCTCGCCAGGGACCACTCGGAGCGGCGCGCTGCAGCCGATGGCGCTGATGAATACGCCGCTCGGCTTCTCCGGCGACGTGATCCGGCGCGCGATCACCGTCTGTCCATCCCCACCTCGCCCATACAGTTTCTCACAGCTTCTCACAGCTTCTCACCCGCGGCCAATCCCCACCGCTTCTCACAGCTCTCACAGCCTTCGTTAGCCCCGCTTTTGTTTTCATAGGCGCACGATCACCAACCGCGGCGATCCCGCGGGCTGACTAAACCTGCCGACTACACTGACTGGCGGCGTGACGCATCGCAGGGGCGGGGGGGGGGCGGGCGGGCGGGCGGGGCGGGAGAAAGACAAGAGTTTCGGTCTAGACCCCACCCCCCCCCCCCCCCCCCCACCGAGGGCGCCGGGGGGCAGGCTCACACTTCAACAGTGAAACCTTCAGATTTTTCTATGAGTAGCCAGCCTCCGGCGGGCCCCCCCGCTACACTTTCCCCAATGTTTACCCAATGTCATTGCCAATGACAAAACAAACGCATGAGGCATCCAAAAATCGTAAGGGTAAGCGCTACGTACACTGAGAGAGAGACGAGAGAGACGGAGAGAGAGACTGCACACATGGCCCCTCACGCGCACACCGCAAGACTACGCCGATGGCAAACCGCCCACGCACCACTTGTGCAGATCGCGAATGGCTGCCTCCTCTCTCACGCTTGCGCAATCGTGGTCGGTCCCGCTATGGATATGCCCAACCCACAAAATGAATACGCACCGCCTTAAACGGCTATGCTCTGGTTTCGGGTGCGTAACCTGGTGCGTAGACAGGCGCAGTTATCAAAATACAGCAGATATGAAGGCCGACCCTCACCCCGGACCTGGCTCACAGCGCATATTTTCCTTCGAAAACAGCACAGAATACTTCAATGTTGGCCCTGCCCCGCACTTACGCAGCATAATTTTACCAATTCAGGCCCATCGACGACCGCGTTACGCATGACGTATCATGTATCCGCATACGTACCCCTTCCTGGCGCCACAGCCTGGCGCTGACGTACTACGTATACGCATTATGTTTCTGCACTCGCCAAAACGCCCGCGAGACGATTGCCTGGCAAATGATTTTAGGTGCCGACGCTGCCTGGTGTGTTATTCCAAATCGAATCCCAATTGTCACTCGCGAAAATCTACGTGCCGTCCGTTGCCATGATGGCCCAGCCGCGGACCGCGTCGTCAGAGGGCGTTATGCTGATCCCAGCCATCACCAAGAGGAACACGACTGGCTACAAGAACATGTCCTACAACCGGCGCGAGAAGAAGTTCAAGGCGGAGGTGAATGCTGGCGGCAAGTGTGTCCACCTCGGCTACTTCAACACCGCCGAAGAGGCGGCCACCGCTTACGCTCGGTCAGAGTATGGCCGCGCCGACGCCGCCAAGCTGCTGCAGCCCCGCCCCGCTCCCACTCCCGCTGGCGCCGAGGCGATACGGCAGGCGGAGAGGGAGGGCCTGACTCTGGCCACCAGCAGCAGCAACACCGGCTACAAAGGCGTCTACTACCGCCCGAAGGACGGCGAGGCAGCAAGAAGTACAAGCTGGAGGAGAGGACTGGTGGCAAGCAAGTCACTCTCGGCTGGTTCGCCACCGCCGAGGAGGCTGCGCTCTTCTACGCCCGCAGGGAGGCGGGCATGGACACGCTCGCCAGCGATCTCACTGCGCCGCCGCCGCCGCCGCCGCCGCCGTCCTCAACCTCTGCGGAGCTGCCACTGGCGCTGCCGCTAGGGCTGCCATAAGTTGGCGCTGCCGCTAGTGCTCCAAGTGCTAGGGCTGCCGCATAATCATGAGCCTGTCTCCAAACACCTCTCCGACGCGCTCGACTATAGTCCAAATTGGACGATGGACTCTATGTCGGGTTGGCGGCCATTTGTGCACCTGCGCCTCGAACTTCTTTTTGCCGCGGATGTAGGACACGTTCTTGTAGCCAGTCGTGCTGTTCTTGGCGATGGCTGGGATCAGCATAACGCCCTCTGACGACGCGGTCCGAGGCGGGGCCATCATGCAGCGGACGCACGTAGATTTTCGCGAGTTTGACAATTGGGATTCGATTGAGCAAGGCAGCGCGGGAGCCTGAAATCATTGGCCAGGCAATCGTCTCGCGGGCGTTTTGGCGAGTGCAGAAACATAATGCGTATACGTAGTACGTCAGCGCCTCCAGGCTGTGGCGCCAGGAGGGGGTGCGTATGCGTATGCGGATACATGATACGTCATGCGCAACGCGGTCGTCGATGGGCCTGAATTGGTAAAATTATGCTGCGTAAGTGCGGGGCAGGGCCAACATTGAAGTATTCTGTGCTGTTTTCGAAGGAAAATATGCGCTGTGAGCAGGTCCGGGGTGAGGGCCGGCCTTCATATCTGCCTTATTTTGATAACTGCGCCTGTCTACGCACCAGGTTACGCACCCGAAACCAGAGCATAAGGCGATGCGTATTCATTTTGTGGGTTGGGCATATCCATAGCGGGACCGGCCACGATTGAGCGCGAGCTGCCGGCTGAGCCCTGGTCTGACAGCCTGACAGCAAACCCCGGACAGCGCCTGACAGTGCCCGACAGCCTGACAGCGCTGACAGCACTTTCTCTGACAGTCTGACAGCACGTGTCTGACAGCCTGACAGCAGAGTCTGACAGGCGAGGGGTCCCGTCGCTGTCAGGCCCTAACGTGACAGCCTGACAGTTGCCTGACAGCCCGACAGCACACAGTGGCCTGACAGCAGCGCTGACAGCCCGACAGCAGCACAGACCCTGAGGGGTGGCCCGTCTACCGTCTACCGGTAGACCGGGTAGACGGTAGACCATTTGGTAGACGAGTCTACCGCAGTCTACCGGTAGACCGTAATGAACCTACGACCCCAGTCTACCGGTAGACTGGGTAGACCGCGGTAGACTGGTCTACCACTTTTTCAGCCGCCGAACGGTAGACCGCCGCCGCCGGACGGTAGACCGCCTCGGCCAGTTGAATATGCAGCCTCCAGCTCTCCACTCTGGCGCCACTTTGGCAGACGAGCGCCGGCAGATGCCCTCGCGGCCTGCCGGCGAACGTCCGTCCGGCGAGAACGCGCGATGAAAGTGCGGTCTGCCGCGCGGGCGAAATCTGCCGGTGAGAGAGGCTGTTGAGCGCGGTCGCTGTGAGCTTCACCTCATGCCATTTCCGTGCGAGGCGCGCTCCGTGTCTTTTATGAGATCAAATGAACGTCTTTACACACTCATCGGGGCGAACCGCTCACTGCGGAGCGCCGCCCTCTCGCGGCTCTCGAGAGCGAGTTTTCGCCAGACAGCCACACGTCCATTATGGCGCGCGTTCTCGCCGGACGGACGTTCGCCGGCAGGCCGCGAGGGCATCTGCCGGCGCTCGTCTGCCAAAGTGGCGCCAGAGTGGAGAGCTGGAGGCTGCATATTCAACTGGCCGAGGCGGTCTACCGTCCGGCGGCGGCGGTCTACCGTTCGGCGGCTGAAAAAGTGGTAGACCAGTCTACCGCGGTCTACCCAGTCTACCGGTAGACTGGGGTCGTAGGTTCATTACGGTCTACCGGTAGACTGCGGTAGACTGCGGTAGACTCGTCTACCAAACGGTCTACCGTCTACCCCAGTCTACCCCAGTCTACCGGTAGACGGTAGACGGGCCACCCCTCAGCACAGACCGTACACAGACCCAGTAGAGCCTCTTTCTTGTGCCCCATGAGGGTATAACAAAACTACATGCAAAGACATGTGAGTGTGGTCCATGTAGTCATGGGATGGTCATGGGTCTCTCTCTCAACCCTCCCGCCCGCCACCTCTGCGGACCCCTCTCTAGCACCGGCGGCTGTGCTACTAGCTACCAGCTAGCCTTCTGGTGCCCTACAGTCATATGCCTACGGCGTCTGGGTGGGGGTGGCCGCCGCCGTCTGTGCCGCCGCCGCCGCCGCCGCCTGCGCCGCCATCTGCGCTCCCCAGGCGGCCGCCCCTGCCGGCGTGATCACGCCGTAGGAGGGGGGCAGCCGCCGGCGTCATCGGCGTCAGCGCCCCCGCCGCCGCCCGGCCAGCGGCCACGGCGGCGTCGACCGCCGCGTTGGTCGCAATCTTCTGCGCCTTGTGCTGCCCCCGCACCTTGGTCTGCGTGGTGCGCTGTGAGCGGGCGCTGCCGAGCCACTTGTGCGCGATCAACACGACCTGCGACCGCCGCGAGAGGAGGGTGAGTGCCCCGCGTGCGGGTATTGATGGACACACGGCGAGGAGAACGCACGTTTGCAGCTCGGCGAGCGCGTCGGCTTCTCCGCTTCCACCGGCAGGTCGGCGAGCCACGCGCGGAGGTGCGACTCGCCGGCAGTGTGGCGCAGCACGTTGGAGCAGTTCGAGCCGATCGCGCCAGTCTCCCCGTAGAGCGCGCCCTTCTTCTTGCCGCACAAGGAGCATTGGTAGTAGCCGAAGTGGCGGTCGAGCTTCTTCACCCCCTGCGAGAGGGAAGCCAGTGGGTGTGGGCGGGAGGGTGGTGAAGAGGAGTGTGGCGCCCACGCACCTTCTCCACAGACTCGTTGGGCGCTGCAAAGGAGAGGTAGGAAGCCGAGTCCCACCAGAACAGAGCGTGCAAGTACTACAAGCTGACGAGCGACAACAATGGGGAGGCCTTCCGCTGGACCAGCAACTACCAGATCATCAGCAAGGTGTACCTGAAGAAGCACTCCACCCTGCCTCTCTGCTATTCCCTCAGTGCGGCAGACAAGAAGATGGTGACGTCCACCATGAAGAAGATGCCCCCGCCGCCACCGCGACTGCCGCCGCCGCCATCATCGCCACCGCCCGCGCCGCCGCCTCCCTCGCCGCCGCCGCACCCGCCAGGAGCCGCCCCCTCCCCGCAGCCGAGGGCGCCGCCCCCTCCACCCTCTTCGCCGCCATCGCCTCCATCGCCGACGCTGCCGCCGCCGCTCCGGCCGCCGCCACGTCCCCTACACCCGTCGCCCTCACCGGTGGAGTCAGCCGGCCAGCCCCCACCGCAAGGCCCGAGCTGGATGCCTTCTGGGTGGCCTATAAGCGCCGTGCCGGACGGCGCGACGCCGCATGCGCTTGCCGGTTTGCCCGCTCGCCTCCTGCGCTCGCCCGCCCAGACGGCAGTTGTCGCGGCTGCAAGTTGCGCGTTGGCCGCTCTCGTGTGTGCTCGGGTGGCGGCAGCGCGTCGCCGCCCGGGCAGCGCGCGTCGGATGCTGGAGATGCAGAGTGTGAGAGACACCGTGGCGCAGGGGGCGGTCGGCGTCGGGCCCGCGGCGGGGGAGGGGGTGGAGGTTGCGGTGACGGCCGACGCCGCCGGCGCTGCGCAGGGCGCAGTGAGGCTGTGAGCAACACCGAGAGACGAGAAGATCTAGGGTACCCAAACTCCGGGCCGGTGTGCGGGGAGCGGACCTTAAGGACCGCCCAGAAGCTTTCTGAGGCAGCAATCGGCCCGGTTCGAGAGCAGGTAGTCGTGGTAGTATTGAGCGCGCAATCGCGCCCGAGCCGGCCCGCCCTGGCCCTGTAGACCCTCCCAGAGAGTTGGCGATGCTGTACAGCATGCCCAGAGCATACCGGACAGGCTCCCGTCGAGCGACGAGCTATGCTGGCTCGCCGCCGGCGGCGAGCTCGAAGACCCGCGCCGAGCTTCGCCGAGCCTGGCGGGCCCACCCGCACGCCCGCGCGCCCCATTCCCAGCCTATGCCAATGGTGGTCGGGTTTTCGAGCAAACAAATAGAGTTTTCCGTTGGAACGAGATCTCGCATTCTTGCTCCGGCCCATGTGGGCCGCCGGTAAGCAGCCTGGATCTCGAAAAGCGGTGTTGATACGAGCGCGCCACGCGCTCTAACGTCTAAGCCCGTGGCGCACTCGCATCGACATGGAGACGCCCCACACACCAACCGCCGAGATCTCGCTGCCCCGCACCTGCCGCCTCTCGGCTCACTGCCAGCTGCGAGTCACTCGCTCGCTGCGCGTGCGCCGGGCCGAGCCGGTAGCGCAGCTCAGGCGCGAGGAACCGCGCGCTGCGCCTGCGCCACGATGTGATCCTGAGTGTAGGAGGCGTCGCCGTGCCACCGCCCACCGTTTGAAATAGCGGACGCAGAGAGCATGCCAAAGTGGCAGGTGAGGTGCCTCTCGTCGTCGATCTGGCCGTGGACCACCAAGATGGGCAGCCTGCGCGCGGTCGCGGACTTCAGCAGCGACTTCCTAGCCGTGCGCTAGGGCGGCGAGGGCGGCGCGCAGATTTCCATTGGCCCGCTCCTTGTCCCAACTGCTCAAAAACACTAATGGAAACCTCCAGGCAACTTCAACAACTCCCAAACTCGTTTGTGTCCCAACTCGCCACAGGCTGGGAATGGGGCGCCGCAGGCAAGCAAGGCGAGCTTGCTGGCGTCTTTGCCAAGCGCCAGCATGCCAAAAGACACCTCGCAGCGCGTGAGACGTGACCAAAGCCGAATGATTCGGTGCCGCGAGAGCAGCCGGTCGACGTCGGTGCCAAGCGCGCGGCCGTCGGGCGCCTCCGAACCGACAGGGGCGCCGTGGCAGTAGAGAGCACTCTACCGACAAGAAAGAAAGGAAGAAAACAGACAACCCAACGGAGGGATGGGAGGACGGCACGCCGCCACCACATATCCTGGATATTTTTCTTTTTTCGACAGTGCCAGCCGCGTGCTTTCGCGGGAGTCGTCTCCCAAGCCGCGTCCCGTCAGCACTGTCCCCGAGTGGTCCCGCCTCGGCGGCACACACTCTCGACCAGGACAGTCCTGCCAACGGAAACGTGTCGCGCGCCGGCGACCATTGCGGCGTGGTCGTTGTGAAGCGAAGTTGGCACGACCACCGCCCTGCTTCGCAGACCGGGCAAGGAGGGGCCTGCTCCCGTTCCGCGAGGAACAGGAGGTCGCCCCCCCTCCCCCGGCCTGAGCAGCGACTGTGGAAGGCAGCCCCGTGAGTCGAGGGCGGCGCGACCATTGCTGCTCTCCAATGATCAGAGACCCGGTAACTGCAGATGGTCGCGACGCCCCGCTCCGCCCCGCCCGCCCGCCGCGCCGGCCGCCGCGCCACCGCCCGGTGATTATTATTTATTAATTACTTAATGTATAAATAATAATCGCCTTACCCACCGTCGCGCCGCCTCGTCCCTGTATTCGTAGAATTCTTCTCGTGAAAGTGAGGCCTGCGCTTGGACGCTGCCGCGAGCGAAGACCCCTCGTCTCCCCCTACCGGGCCCCAAAAATCGCGCGGCGATGAGCGGCGGGCATCTGAGCAAGGATTTCTTCGAGCTCATGTGCGCTCGCACGCTCGCACTTCGCTGCGGAAACCACCGGACGCACACCGCGGCTGCTCTCCCCTCACCGCGTCCGCACCCCTGCACCGCGCAGCAAGAGCATCGGCGAGTGCAAATCGAAGCAGGAGGAGGACAAGATTCTGGCGGCCGAGGTGGCGACGCTGCGCCAGCGCTTCACCGAGCAGCTCAGCCCCAAGAAGATGAAGGAGGCTGTCGTGCGGATGATGTGAGAGACCGCTCCGCAGCCACCGCCACGCCTGGGCACGAACAACTGCGCGCCTACCCCGCGCCCTCCGCCGCAGGTATGCGGAGATGCTGGGCCACAACGCCGACTTTGGCCACATCCACGCCGTCAACATGTCGCAGCAGACCAACCTCATCGCCAAGCGTGTCGGGCGCGCGAGACACTTCCGAGACACTTCCTGGCCACTTCCTAGACACCTCATCGCCAAGCGTGTCGGGCGCGCGAGACACTTCCGAGACACTTCCTGGCCACTTCCTAGACACCTCATCGCCAAGCGTGTCGGGCGCGCGAGACACTTCCGAGACACTTCCTGGCCACTTCCTAGACACCTCATCGCCAAGCGTGTCGGGCGCGCGAGACACTTCCGAGACACTTCCTGGCCACTTCCTAGACACCTCATGGCCAAGCGTGTCGGGCGCGCGAGACACTTCCGAGACACTTCCTGGCCACTTCCTAGACACCTCATGGCCAAGCGTGTCGGGCGCGCCTTCTGCGACAGCCGCGAGAACAGCGACCACAGAGCTTCGACAGCATTCGACATCTCTCCCTCCCCCCCCCCCCCCCCCTCGCTTGCGTGCGCACCGGCTCCCTCCTGCTGCGCCCTCCCCCACCCCTGCCGTCCTGCCGCCTCTGCCCTTCTCACGCCTCTCCCGCCCCTCTGTGTGCAGATACCTGGCGTCGACTGTCTGCTTGCACTCTGGGTGAACGCAGCCGCCCGCCAACACGGCCCCCCACACCC